ACTATTTCTGATATCTGCCAGCTGAAAACACATCCTGAAACAAAGCATCTTACTATTCAGAAGGTTTCTAAAATTTACATTAATTTACATTTGCTAGAGTTGGTTGCACATTAAATTCCTGGGGGTCTCTGAGCTCGGATGTTTTCTTGCAGACGTCTCATGACCCAATTAGGGAACTTCATCAGTGCCAGAAGGAGTGGGCAGGAGGAGGAGGAGGAGGAAGGGAGGACTGGGAGGCCCTTGGTGGTTTTCTTGGGACGTTTCACGACCCAACTAGGTAACATCATCAGTGCAAGATCTATTAGTAATTATTATTATTAATAATTACTGGGACACTTTCTGTGCGAGAGGGGAAGGAGAGGAGAAAGAGAAGAAGGAGAAAGAGAAGGAGTGGAGGAAAAGAAGAAGTGAGGAAGAGGAGGAGGAGGAGGAGGATTATAGAGTCCTTATAGAATCCTCTGGTGGTTTTTTTCATGACCCAACTAGGGAACATAATCAGTGATAGAAGGGAGTGGGGTTTGCAGAGAGGAGGAGGAGGAGTGGGCTCCTGGTGAGCAGATAGAGCTATTATATGTGCCAATCTATAGTAGATTATTCTAGAATTTCCTTCAGACCCAGATAATTAAGCTACATAGAAATCAATAGAGTAATTTGCAAAAGTGTAGATTTCTTTTCTGTTATTTACTCATTCTCTACATAAAATAATTCATTACAATTCTATCTCTAAATCATATTCCTCTCTAAATAATCATCTCTTTCAATATTCTTCTCTTCAAAATCCCATTCATTCCAACCTTCTTCTCAACCTATATTCTTCACTCCCATCATAACCTCATCTCTCTTCACTGAAATGTCACAACGGCCTGAAATTTAGTCATATTACAGCCTCTAAACAAAGAAGCCCATTCTCTCTCATTCTCTGCTAAGTCCATCAATTTCACATATTCAAACTCCAAATTGGCATCCCTTTCCTGCACTTTACTGATTAAGGACCAGTCAGTTTCTCTCAGAACAACCAACGCCACAGAGGCTAAAATGCGGGAAATCTCGGCTTTTCCAGATAAAACTCAAATAAAAATAAGTTTGGAGAACACCAGTCTGGGTTGCTGAGAAATTAGTGACCCTCACGGGAAACAAGGGCCTTTTGTGTAGGCCCAGTGAAAAAATACATGTGTCTTGAAAATAGCAACAAAGCACCGATCAATATAAATCCAATTTACTTTCATGTCTGCATTATGGTACAAGGCTCTGGCCTACGAGGTTTCCATTTCTTCCAAAATAACCCCCTGGAACCCACCGTGTTTTCCAATTTTTAAGGTTTTGCACTCGGCCTCCTCTCTTTTACAGAGGTTTTTAACCCCAATCTCTGCGGTGGCCCTTAGAAATGTCCCCAAAAATGTTTTTTAAATGCCATTTTTCACAATGTGCTTGGGCATAATTGACAATGACCCCCAATTATTCATGCAACTAGGAGAAATAAATGTGTTTATAGGGAGTTCCTTCCTTCCTTCCTTTCCTTCCTTCCTTCCTTCCTTCCTTCCTTCCTCTTCTCCCTCCCTCCTCCTCCTCCCTTCCTTCCTTTTCTTCTTCCCTCCTTCTTTTTCCTTCCTCCCTCTTTCCTTCCTCTCTCCTCTCTCCTCTCCTCCTTTCCTCAGCCCTCCCTCTCTTTCTCTTCCTCTCTTCCCTCCCTCCCTCCCTTCTCTGCAGCAGCCTGGAGGGGTAAAATAGTCCCAATTCAGTCCCAGAGAAGTGATCCGAGCCATAACGGAGAAGAGACGCTGCCTGTTGTGGCATCTCCTAGCCTCGACGGAGAGCTGAGGAACATATTTCCAGTTCCACCGGGCTGATGTGTCCTGACAGAGGCCGTCATTACCCTGCCAACTTTTCTCTCCGTTTGCGGCCGGAGATGTCCCTGGCAATGGCTGTTTATGTTCATTAAGCCCCCTTCAGTTCAAGAGAGTGCCACTTTGCTTCCGTGCTCATGCAGCTGATTGTGGCAATCTGGGGCTTAGGGAGAGATCCATCCGTGGCAAATCTTCGGCTTTGATTTCCAGGTGGGAAAGCAGCCATTTCAGCAGGCTAGAATTATTTCCTCCAAAGATCATAGGAATGTGCATCCTTCTGTCCCCCTGCCCTCCCCTCCCTGTGATTTCCTCCACTGAGAAGCATTTGGTGATCTTCTGATGCCGTGCGAGGGAGGGAGGGAGGGAGGAAGGAAGGAGAAAGAGGGAGGGAGGGAAGAAGGAAGGAAGGAAGGAGGGAGGGAGGGAGGGAGGGAGGAGAAGGAGGGAAGGAGGAAGGAAGGAAAGGGAGGGAGGGAGATAGAAAGGGAGGAAAGAAAAATGATATTAAAGGAGGGGAAGAGGGAGGGGAAGGGAGGAAACAAAGAAAGGAAGGAAATAAAGAAAGAAGAAAGAAAGAAAAAGGGAAGAGGAGGGGAGGGAGAGGGGGAAATGACATTAAAGGAGGAAAAAGAGGGAGGAAGAAAGGAAGGAAAGAAAGGAAAAAGGAAAAGAAAGAAAGAAAAAGAAAAGAAGGGAGGAAAGGAAAGGGGAAAAAAGGAAGGGGAGGGGAGGAAGTGTTACTAACTTAACTGCAGTGATTCACTTAACAAATGTAGCAAGAAAGGTCGTAAAATGGGACAAAACTCACTTAACAAATGTCTCGCTTAGCCACAAAAACTTTGGGCTCAATGGTGGTCATAAGTCAAAGGCAACCTTCAACTTTGCACAATGCAATGAATTGCTTCACAATTGCTTTGGCCTATCCAATGTCTGCATCCTTCCCCGATGGCTTTCCCAGGGCTTGGGGGAGAGTTTGATGGTCTAGGCTGGGTCTCCTGCTTGAGCATGGGGTTGGACTAGAAGACCTCTAAGGTCCCTTCTAAGCCTAAGATTCTATGCTCCTTTGTGTTAATTCTGTGGCCAAGAGGTATGTGGGTCACCACCAAGGTCAGGTCCTAGGGAGATGCTTCCCACCCGCCCATCCGATGAAGAATATCAGAAGCTGATTCATGAAAACCTCTTCAGATTTGAACACAACATGTTCTGGAACACAGTGATGAGGTCCCAGATGGTTAACCTGGGTTTAAATGTTTTATGTGATGGGGACAGCATCTGTTCAGAAACATCTGTTGTCCTTAGATTCATCACCGTAAAAGGGAACAGCAGAAAGAGCAAGCTAATTGTTGAGTTTTGAGCTTCCAAATCTCATGGATTATTGCAGGGGTCTCCAAAACATGGCCACTTTAAGACTTGTGGACTTCAACTCCCAGAAGTTGAAGTCCATAAGTCTTAAAGTGGCCACATTTGGGGCAAAAGTTCAAGCTTCTCCTCTCCTTATATATGTCAGTGCTGGGATGCTGACAGGACATAGTTCTTATTAAGTGAATGCGATGGTTGTGTTGTGAGCTAGGCTCACTTAGTCATTTATAAGACACAATTAGTCCCAAACAAACCTATTTTATTGTAACATCTGAGAATTACTTCATTCCCAGCTTAGTCCCAATTAATTCCAAAACAAGTCCTTCAGAAAAAGTCCTTCGGGCTTATCACAAATCTTTATCTTTTTTGGCACCCTGCCAAAGGCCTTTCCTGGCAAAGCCCCACGAAGTTCAGAAACAAACAAGAGATGCCAACTGGAAACAGAGTTAGCAACATTGGTTTCCTACGAAGAGCCCAAGAGCCTTTGCTCCTCTTTTAAGCCTTATGGGAGGGGCCAATCATCTCCCGGCCTTACTCCCGAGTCGTCCCTTTTGCTTTAGCTGCTCTTGCCTTCTGGAAGCTCTGCGCATGCACTCACTAGGAACAGGCTCCTCCTGTTCCTCTGCCTCTCTACTGTCAGCCTCTGGAGGCTCCGGAGTCCGCGCATCACTCCCAGATGGCCCTGGCCCCATCTCTGCCTCCGACGCAGAGCCCTCATTTGGACCTCCCCCAGACTCCAGGACTGGCCCATGGTCCTCCCCAGCCTCCTCATTGTCCGACTCTGCTGCCAGCTCCTCAGGCTGCTGGCGGATCACAACAGGTTGTTACGCCAAACCATTGTTTTCCATGGGGCTTTTCTGGCCAGAAATGGGAAGTAAACGCCAGTTATAAGTGTGAGAACAGGTCGTGCCACTTTTTTTCCAGTGCTGTTGTAACTTTGAGCTGTCACTAAACATGATTTAACCCGTACTCTGGTTAGCTTTGCAGCAAAGTGACCGCAGCTTGGCACACCATGCTTCAGTGGCCACAGGAGCACCTGGGGGGAAAGCTATGGCTGATGAATACAGTACTCGACTTACAACCAGTTTGTTTAGTGACCAGTCAAAGTTACGACAGATCTCTCCCAGGCTATTACGACCCGGATCCTATACATCTCACTCACAGAGCGACCTCGTTCGGTTTCCTTCGCTAAAACACGCCCATTGCAGTCGATGGGTTTGCTTAATTTCCACAGCATTCCTTTAATGACCTCTGCAAAAAAAAGGTCATAAAATCCAGCATGGTTACATGGTGACCCATTTAATGACCGGTACAACCGATGACAGTAATTCCGGACTTCATTACGGTTGTAAGTCAAGGAGTACCTTTACTGGTAAATTTAGGATGGTCAGGCTGGTGGAATCTACGTGGTAAGATTACGGTGGCTTTTGGTCGATCCTCTCCCACTCACGAAAACCCCCACCATTGGGTCCTCGACTTACAACAGTTCGCTTAGTGACGGTTTGAAGTTAGCACTGAAAAAAGTGACATAACCATTTTTCACACTTACGACCATTGCAATATCAAATCTATCAAAACTTGGTAACTGACTCATGTTTACGGCGGTCACAGTGTCATGGGGTCACGTGATTCCCTTTTGCGACCTTCCGGCAAGAGAAGTCAATGGGGAAGCCAGATTCACTTAACGACCGTGTTGCTAACTTCCCAACTGCAACGATTCCCTTCCCAACGGTGGCAGGAAAGGTCATAAAACGGAGCCGTTGAACAAGCGTCTCGCTTACCAACGGAAACGTCGGGCTCAAGTGGTGGCCGTAAGTCGAGGAGTACCTTATTCTCTCCGGAGCCTTGGAGCACGAAAGCCCAAATTAAGCCAGGATAGCAAAAGCGGTGAGCGCAGGGGCCGATGGACGGATGTCGGAACAAACTAGCTTACTTGTTCATCGGCCACGCCGGAGGGGAGGCAGGCGGCCACACAGGAAGGCCAGCTGCAGTACTGATCCACTGACCCGCTACTGACCGAGTTCCCACGTTTGTGCCTGAAACTTGCAAATACAGAAAAGTGATTTTGAGTACGGCACTCACACTATTTGCTGCAAAGACCCTCATGGGTCCCGCTGGATTTGCTCGTCTTCCTCGCACCCCTCCGTTCCTGTCCCCCAGCCGAGGGTCCTCCTCCCCCTGGAATTTTATCCATGCAGAGGGGAGGCCTCTTCCACCCCCACCACCCCCCAACTCATCTCTGGGCTCTTCTGCATACAAACATACAACATACAAACAGGGGACCAATCTGCGGGTTCCTCGTTCACCCATCAATGCCGACAGAACCAATCCGTACATTCCAACACACTTTTTAATCTCCTCATAACACGTCCACCCAGAAATAGAGTGATAAAAAAGACTCGGCTAATAATTGAGTTAAATGGAAAAAAAAGAGAGAGAGAGAGAAAAACAAAGAAAGAAGAAAGTGTGTTTGTGTGTGTGTGTGAGAGAGAGAGAGAGGAAGAAAGGAAGGAAGGAAGGAAGGAAAGAAGGAAGGAAGGAAGGAAGGAAGGAAGGAAGGAAGGAAGGAAGGATCCTGGTGGCATAGTGGTTAGAATGCAGTATTGCTATTGGGAAAGAAAGAAGGAAGGAAGGAGGGAAGAAAGGAAGGAAGGCAGGAAGGAAGGGGAGGGGGAGGGAAGGAAGGCAGGAAGGCAGGAAGGGCGAGGGAAGGCAGGAAGGAAGGGAGGGGGAGGGAAGGCAGGAAGGCAGGAAGGAAGGGTGAGGGAAGGAAGGAGGGAGGGAAGGAAGGAAGGAAGGCAGGAAGGAAGGAAGGGCGAGTGAAGGAAGGAAGGAGGGAAGGAAGGAAGGAAGAAAGAAAGGAAGGGTGAGGGAAGAAAGGAAGGAGGGAAGGAAGGAAGGGGAGGGGGGAGGGGAGGGAAGGAAGGCAGGAAGGAAGGGGGGGGGAAGAAAGGAAGGAAGGGGAGAGGGAGGGAAGGCAGGAAGGCAGGAAGGAAGGCCGAGCAAAGGAAGGAAGGAGGGAAGGAGGGAAGGGGAGGGGGAAGGAAGGAAGGAAGGAAGGAAGGAAGGAAGGAAGGAAGGAAGGAAGGAAGGAACTCAATCATTTTTATTCTTTTCTCTCCTTATTAAACTTGCTCCTTCACTTCCCTCCGTGGATTCATCCAGTCTGCCATTTTGTTCACATCTCTCGTGTCTCTTTTTCTTCCGTTTCCCAGACATTCAATATCTCTTTTCTTTCTTTCATTTCTGAATTCGTGCTCTCCAGTATTTGCTCCTCTCCTATTTCCCAGGTCCAGAAATCAGCCTCGATCGTATCCACGCGAGGACAATGAGTCAAGCTTAGCACCTGTTAACCGGGATCCTCCAGTCACCACCCAAGAACCACTTTCATGGTTCACACCGGTTCGCAAGAACCGGTAGTAAAAATTTGTAGTAGTTCGGAGAACCGGGAATAACATTGGCTGCCCACACCCCCGAACTGGTCCCCGGCCCGGTTGCCACTCGCTACTACCCCGCCCACCTCATCAGAGGCTTTTTTTTTTTACTTTAAAAAGCCTTTTTTTCCACAACCTCTTCAGCCGAAGAGCTTGTAGGGGGGAAAAAAAATGCCTTTAAAAGCCTCTGGCGATCCCAGCTGACTTGCCTGATCGTCAGAGGCTTTTAAAAGCATTTTTTTCCTGCAACCTCTTAAGGTTGTAGAAAAAATGCTTTTAAAAGTTTAAAAAAAAAAAAGTTGGCCACGCCCACCCAGTCACATTACCCCCACCAAGCCACGCCCACAAAATAAGCCACACCCACACAATGGGTAGTAAAAAAATTTAGAACCCACCCCTGCCAGAATGTATGTCCAGGATGAGAAACACAACAAAAAGTCTCCAATTTTAAAACTGCAGATTGCAAGAACAAATGGATTTTGGAAATAGACCCATTGGGTTTTTTTTAATATATATATATATATAATTTTTTTCCGGCAAGGAACCGGAAGGATGGAGCCAATCACTTACTCAAACCAGCCCTTGACCACCTCCTTGTATCTGGCGGTGCTGAGCGAAGTGGCAGATGCTGACCTGGAGAAGAAAATGGAAAAGTAGGAATGGGAAAAACTCGGGCGCGCTCCAATCATCAAAGAAAGAAGGGAAAGGAACGGGGTACAGGTAGTCCTCGACTTACAACCGTCCGTTTAGTGACCGTTCAAAGTTACAACGGCACTGGAAAAAGTGCCTTATGATCAGTTTTCACACTTTACAACCGTTGTAGAATTCCTATGGTCACGTTATGAAAAATTTGGTAGAAATATACAAAATTATAATACAAAGTTGTATGACTATTGTTGATCCAGGATGAAGAAATGAATGTTATAATATAAATATTATATAATATAATATTATAATATTATATTATATTATATAACAAGAGCCTTGGTAGTACAGTGGTCTAAAGCACCCTATTATTAAAACCAGCTGCCTGCAATTAAAGTAAGTTCGAATCTCACCAAAGCTCAAGGTCGACTCAGCCTTCCATCCTTTCTAAGGTAGGTAAATTGAGGACCCGGATTGTGGGGGCAATAAGCTGACTTTGTATAAAATATACAAAAAGGATGAAGGCTATTGCTTAACACATTGTAAGCCGCCCTGAGTCTCCGGAGAAGGGAGGCATATAAATCAAATTAAATATATATATATATATATTTGAAAATATTTTTTATAACAAGAGGGGAAAGCCATCATTAAATAAATGATTAATGAGGATTATATTACAAAGATGCTTATTAGACTGGTCAATATGAGAAATGAGATAATTAGTAAGTAATGAATATGGTGAGGAAGCACAAAAGATTTGTAATCGACCGACACACGGTTTGCAATTGTATGGATGATGGATTTATGTTTTATGTTTTGTTTTAAAAGTAAAAAAAAAATTTCAAAAAAAAAAAAATTTGGGCGCTTGGCTACTGACTCACATTTATGACGGTCGCAGTGTCCCGGGGTCACGTGATCCCCTTCGGCGAACTTCCGACAAGCAAAGTCAACGAGGAAAGCAGATTCGCTTAACGACCAACTTTGACAACTGAAGTGAGTCACTTAACAATTACGTGGCCAGAAAGGTCGTAAAATGGGCAAGATTCACTTAACAATCGTCTCGCTTAACAACAGAAATGTTGGGCTAAAGTTGTGGTCGAAAGTCGAGGACTACCTGTATTTATGACGGTTTGCAGTGTCCCGGGGTCACGTAATCCCCTTCGGCGACCTTCCGACAAGCAAAGTCAATGGGGAAGCCGGATTCATTTAACGACCGTGTGACTAATTTTACAACTGCGGTGATTCACTTAACAACTGTGACAAGAAAGGTCGTAAAATAGGGCAAAACCCATGTAACAATGGAAATTTCAAATCCGATTGTGATTATTAAGTCAGACACTACCTGTAAAAACCTCAGCATTTTTACATGTTCTACCTGTTCGAAAGCAGAAAAGACAATACAGATTGTCCTCCACTTATGACCGTCAATTTCCTATGCTAAGCAAGCGGTTGTGTGAGTCGTGCCTCGTTTTAGGACCTCTCCGCTATAGTTGTTAAGCGAATTGCTGCAATTTGTTAAGTGAACCAGGTGTTCGTTAAGTGAATCTGGCTTTTTCCTTGCTGGAAGCTGGCTGGGAAGTTCGCCAATGATGATCACGTGACCTTGGGGTTACCGAAACCGTCATAAGTATGAGTCAGTTGCCAAGCGGCCGAATTTTGATCATGTGACCCCCAAGGAACAGCCGTAAGCACGAAAACCAGTCGTAAGTCTATTTTTTCAGTGTCGTTGTAACTTTGAACAGTCACTAAACGAATGGCTGTAAGTCAAGGACCGCCTGTAGGCAGGAGAGATCACCTGCGAAGGGTAACCCCTTACCTGAAGGGTCTTTTCCACAATTTTTCACCTCCTTTCTTCTCTTCGGAGTCCTCTTTGCCGGCCAACTTCCTCTCTCCTGTTTTCACTTTTTCTGGGTCTCTAATAAAGGAGAACATTCAGAGGAAAATTTAAAAATATTTCAGTTAAAGCATTGCTCGGTTTCCTCCTGGGTGGTGTGATGGCCTAGAGGTGGAGCTCTCAGCTCACAATCAGGAGGCTGTGAGTTCAATCCTAGGTAGAGGCAGATATTTCTCTCTCTGGGCACAATGAGAACATATCTACCGAACAAAACTCCGCACTGGCGACAGGAAAGGCATTTGGCCATTAAAACACTCAGCTCCATTCAGTTGCCCAGATTCCACCCTGCAAGGGATTATGGGGTCGTTAAAAGGAGATGCTTGCTCAGTTTCCTCCTCATCTTTGCATAATTGTATTTTATTTATTATTTATTTGCGAAACGTAGACGCCGCCCATCTCGAGGGGTCTTAAAACCAACAAAAGCGATGATAAACCATTAAAACATTTACATCTGGTTTCTACGTGGATTTGCTTAATGACCGGGGGGGGGCGTGTTTCGCTTCATGACCGTGGCATTTGCCTAAGGACCCCCGCAAAAAAAAAAAAAAAGAAAGAAAGAAAATAATTAAAATAAGTTACGGTCACGGGATGACTTCTTTTGGGACTTACGACTATCCTGGCGAGCTCAACGACCGTCGTAAGTGGAGAATTGCCTGTATGGATACCTGCCAGGTGGGGTGACACCTGAGGAGGAGGAGGTTTGGACAGGCTAAACATATGCCAAACTCACAACTTTACATTGAGGATGGACCTGGTGGCTGCCTGAAGATCCCTGGTCAGTTGCTTTTGCTTCTCCCTGCAAGGAAAAGGAAGAGTTTCATCTATTTTCTTTTCTTTTGGAAAGTTTTGGAAGCTTGGAAACAGGGCTGGGATTCAGCCGGTTCGGACCGGTTCGGATGTTAATTTTACATTTTGTTCGCCGAACCGGTAGTTGTGAGGACTGGATGGCCCTGTCCCAGAGTCTCCACGCAGGCCGTGCCCTTAACTGGCATCCAAAACAGGCCATGTGGGGACTCCTGGGATGGATGGATGGGTAGATAAGAGATAAATAGATAGATGGATGGATGGATGGGTAGATAGATAAAAATAGAAAGATAGATAGATAGATAGATAGATAGATAGATAGATAGATAGATAGATAGATAGAT